TAAAAATAAAAAAGAAATGGGGATTTGTATTCTTATGGCATAGTTAATTGATAATAATCATAATATCTAGCATTTTACAAAGAAATTATGTGCCAGGAAATGTACAAGAAACTTTATATGTATTGTCTCTTTTAATTTTCATCCCAACCTAATAAGGAAGGAAGTAGAAAGTAAACATTAATATGTTCTTTTGATGAATAAGATAATTAAGTTTCAAGAGTGACTTGCTCGACTAAATAAAGATGCAAAATAGCAGAGCTGGGATTTAACACTTTCATGTTTCTTCAATTTGAAAAGCCTATACTTTTTTTTTTTGGTACTGGAGATTGAACTCGGGTTCTTGCGCCCGTGGGACAAGAAAAGCCTATACTTTTGAAATTGCATCACATGATCGTAACCAGCTACTAACATCCCTATACTTTCCCTGCACTTATTAAAAGGGTCATGCTAAACAACTGGTTTTAGTTACTTTGAAGAAAGGACTGGTTTTTAGTAAGACTGTGAATAAATGGAAGTTTCTCATACCATTTCAAACACATCACTTGCACTTAATTTGATGAACTTAATGTCTCCAAAATCTCCAGGGGGGAACTTTTTCAACCACACCCAGTTGCCCTGGAAAGAAAAGGTAGAGAATAGTAATGAGACTTAGTTGCCAGTAGCTTTAGAGTAATCTCCTTTCCACATGACAGGTTTACAGTGATATTTACAAGCCCAAACAGATTTTTCCTCCTATCCCATCCCCTATCCCCTAGAAATTCTGTATTCTGGGTTAAAATGAGTTTGTATAAGAAACTTAAAGTTAAAAATGCCAATTAACTCAATACAGGAGAACAATTGCAGGTGTGAAAACAACAGAAAAGAGAGAAAGGGATGGTGGCAGCCAGTGTTAGAACTGTTGCAGCCACTATTACCCAGCCAGGGACCTGAGCTGAATAGTCATTGTCAGATTGTTAGGCAAAGACTGGATTGAAATCTTCCCCGCTCAAATTGCACAGACCATCATGAAGGCTTGTTTGAAAGGATCACAGACAGGTCAAAACTTCCTGAAGAAAAAATCTGATGCCTTAACTCTTTGACTTCAACAGATCCTAAAGAAGATAATAAAGACCAAGAGGTTGATGAGCAAAGTGATGAGAGAAGCTGCCTTCTCCCTCACCAAGGCCAAGTTCACAGCAGGGGACTTCAGCACCACAGTTATCCAAAACGCAAATGAAGCCCAACTGGAGATTCATGTGAAGAAAGATAATGTGGCAGATGTTACTTTGCCAGTGTTTGAACATTACCATGAAGGAACTGACAATTATGTACTGAATGGCTTAGCCAGAGGTGGGGAACAGTTGGCTAAACTGAAGAGGAATTATGCCAAAGCAATGGAGCTCCTGGTGGAACTCACTTTGCTGCAGACTTCCTTTGTTACTCTGGATAAAGCTATTAAGATAACCAATAGGCATATAAATGCCATCAAGCACATTATTATACCTCTATTGAACATATACTTGTTTACATCATCACAGAGCACAATGAGAGAGAGTGAGAAGAATTCTATAGGTTAAAGAAAAGACAAGAGAAGGGCCGGGGATTTAGCTCAGTGGCTCCGCCGCTTGCCTCGCAAGCATAAGGACCCGAGTTCGATCCCCAGTACAAAAAAAAAAAAAAAAGAAAGAAAGAAAAAGAAAAAGAAAATACAGGAGAAGAAAAAGATTCTCAAGGAAAAATCTGAGAAGGACTTGGAGCAATAGAGAGCAGCTGGTGAGGTGATGGAGCCTGCTAAACTTCTGGCCGAGGAGAAGGATGAAGATCTTCTGTTTGAATAGTCTTCTGATCTACTACTTTTGGAAACTCCACACTGTGGCTCCATTTAAAATCAGTGTGTAGGTTTGGTATGTGTGGCTATTTGTATTTTGGCCTAAGAATTTCACCAATTGTAAAATTTACCTGGATGTCTATTTATGAGACTACTTTTGCAGAATCATGATTCAGTAAACATTAATCACAGGTGAATCAGGTTTGTAGAAGTTGCTCCATGCTCTCAGGCTTCACTTGCTGGAGTGTCACATAGCTCTGCTTATATCTGTGTCACATGTGACACATTGACCAAGCATTTTAAGAAATACTCTTTAGGAAATGTTAGTGGTCTCAGGCCAGCTGCTGTGAAAACTTTCATTTCTACCCACTTGGAAACCTTGGCATGTAACTGAGATGCCACAGCAATCTGTGTCACTATGGTACTTCTCAAGCTTTGTGAAAATATGTGATTTTTCCCCTTGCCTGACATCTGTCTTGTCTTGGGAGCAGTTTTGCCAATTTAAATATAACCATGTTGAGCACCACTCCCAGCTCAGAGGAGGAGGCTTCCTAGCCACCATAACATTGCCCCCAGCACCAAGGAGGTGAGCAGTGTGGGCACCAGCACCATACACACCCCCCTTCAAAATGAGAAGACATGAAAACAACCCTCAAAACCAGACTTCCAGATCACGTACAGCAACCCCAAAGGGAAACAAGATGGAACACTCTGATACTAAACTGCCTGGACTCCCTGAACTGGCAACAAAAGAGGATCTGCAAAAAAAAATGAAATCAGAGATAATTTCTCACATAACAGCAGAGATTGTGCCCACAGTGCAAGACATGATTAATAAATCCACAGAGGACACAGATTAAAAAAAATAGAGGAGCTGAGGAACATGATAGAATCCTAACATAGGAAACAAATGGAATCCATGAAACAGATCCAAACAGATTTCCAGGAGATTAAAAACTCCACTGAAAGTCTACACAGCAGAATGAGCCAATGTAATGACAGAATTTCAGACATAGAAGATAAGATCACAATTTAGTGACCAGGAAAAGAAAAATGTCTTTAAAATTGTAAGGGACCACAAGAAATCGATCCAGCAGCTTCAAGATGATGCAAAGAAGAATGACATAAGGCAGAACAGAGTCAATAAAGAAAAAGAAGAGAGTACAGACGACATGAAAAGAAAAAAACTGTTCACAGAAGTGATGGCAGAAAACTTCCCAAGCAGGGGGAAAGAACTTGACATACAGATAAGTGAGACATATAGGACTCCAAATAGTCTTGATCAAAAAAAAGCATCTACACATAGGCATATAATAGTTAAGACTCCAGAAATCCAACAGAAAACAAAACTCTACAAACAGTTAGAGAAAAGAAACAAATCACATACAAAAGAAAGCCCATCAGAATCACTGCAGACTTCTCAATGCAAACCCTCAAGGCAAGAAGAGCTTGGAGTGATGTATTCCAAGCCCTAAAGGAAAAAAGCCTCCAACCCAGAATGATGTACCCTGCACAACTATTTTTCAAAATCGATGGAGAAATAAGATGCTTTCATGACAAAGAGCACCTTGGGAACTTCATGAATACCAAACCAGCACTCCAAAAAATTTTAGACAATATCCTAGGAAAAGGCAACAAGGAACACAAGCCAAGCAGAATGAATCCATCGGGCACAACAAGATATTAAACACAAAGGGGGAGAATCCAACAAAAAGAAAAA